CCGCCGCCGTAGCAGACGATGCGCCAAGAGTAACGCAAAATCTAACTGCAGCACTGCTAGTTCTTGCGACTGTCGTTTGGCCCATCCTCCTCCGCTGGTGGTGATAGGGAGATTTGAGAGTGAGTTTATTCTAGTAACGTTGAGCTTTGGTATATGATGTGCCATTGCCACACTCAGAAAACACTGATAAAGCCTAGCAAAGGACTGTACAAATTACATACAGCAAATCCTCATTAATTCAAAGACCTTGGGAGTGAGGAAAATATTCTAATTCCAAACTATCCAAACAGATGTGAGCGGTAAAAACCAAGTGTGATGCCAAATATTGCAACCTATTGGTGCAGTGTACACATTAAGAAAAAGTTTTCAGTAGTTGTAAATTTGTTTCAGAGGGGGTCACTGAAGTTCTAGAGGGCAGCTTAGTACAGCTCCTATATTAAGCTGTTTTCATCCAGCAAGCATGTGCATTGGAAGGACAAGCTCAGTGTGAATAAGCAGTTTTCGTAAACCTTCTAAAATTTGTGAAATTGGGAATAGCCATGCTGTCATTTTTCAATGCCTTGCAAAAGTCGTGGCATTAACATGCATCAGGAGTGCTTCCAAAACCAAATGCACTAAATTTGTCACATTTAAAGTGGAGCCTTGAGTAGATAAATGTTTCAGGAAAACAAATAATTACGATTATTTGTATTTGGTCTGAAAAAGGTGAACCACAACGACACTAACTCTTTCATTACCACAAGAAACTGGTCATTTTTCATAGGTCTCAGAAATAATTTTTTTTTTTTTGCCAGTTTAAAAAATACTCCAGCATGCATTGCAATACCATCTTATGCACAATAAAATGCTTGTTCAAAAAAAACGTAAGTTGTACTGGAAGAAAAATGTTATGGAATATATAAAATTTGAGTGTGTAATTTTCTTCTTCCAACTGATAAAGACTCCAATAAAGAACACTTTATTTACAAAGACATTCAACAAATAAAATTCAGAATATGCATATGGGAGATAATCTACCAGGAATAGTATAAATAATTAATAAATGCTTTATACAACATTACTATTAACATACACAAAAAAATCTTAAAGGAGCACTGACATCAAATTTACTCATGCGAAGATTTTTGCGTCGGCGAGTAGCTATAGACGCCGTAGCAGCGATTTGCGACCTAAAGCGCAACTGAGGGATGAATAACTATCACTTTTATTCATTTATATCACTGGTATCTAGCACTATTCAAAGCTGCCGGCAAAAATCCTGCCATTTTTAGTGCTGGGAGCACCAGCAGTGGCACTACCTCGTGGTCAGCTCCAGATCACGCCACAGCTGACCACTTCTCTACAGAAGAGAGTGACATCAGGCTCAGCTGCTCCGTAAACATTTCGTCTGCTAGGTGGACACATTCAGTCATGCCTTGTCACCTGCATTGCTGTCGTCGCCCTACAAAGTGTCAACCCGAGTTCAATACGATAGTCTGGAGCTTGGAATCCTCGTGATTTGCGATGTTGCAAATTATTTTTGCTTCGATTGACCTATTGCAAAACAGTGATTCCGAAATGGACGCGTTCCAAGCAGTACTGCAGAGGTGCCCGAGGATGCATGCTTCAGCCATGTTCGGTCGTGCATCTCAGTTAGCTATATTGGTGTGTTTTGGGGTGCAAAGCATTCAGGTATGCACAGAGGGTTCAATGCAATATAGCTATTGCGAATGAGCATCAGCGGAGAAATATAATATGTTTCTTGCTTGCCAGGTTCTTTTTTTTGTGTGTGCCTCTAGATGGCCCCACCTATCCAGCCTTTCGCGGTTAACACGATATTACCACTTTTACGTGGACGCAGAGTCTACAGATGAATTAAAATTTTAACGATACCTGCGGGTTACTTATTAGCGATGATATCTGACTATACGCTGTTCCACTTTTGATAGCTTGTGTCTTGTTGATGTGTAACACACACGTGATATGAAAATACACTCATTGCGCTTTTTTCGTGCTTTGAACTAGACGACTGCAACTTACCTGCAACTCGCAACTATTCCCCGACATGCTGACCGACAAGCACACGTTTAATCATGCTCTTATCTTTTGCCGTTCTTTTAGAGACGGTTTTTATCTTGATAGTTTCATGAAATCATTCAAACCAGTGCGACGAAGATCAGACGCAACGAGTGAGTGTGTTTCTGCGCTTCGGCGCCGGTCCGCGCCATGATAAGAACACTCCGATCGATCGTACACATCATCGCTACTAGGGCATCATCACTCAAGATGATATTTGTGGAATGTATCACACCAAACACGTAGACCTAGTGTCGATGTCGCAGGGCAGTCTGTTTTCCGTTTTATCTCCTTAGCTTTTCTACCCTGTTTGACATCGAACTAAAATAACTTCCACGCGATGGATGCCGTTCAAATTTGGCCAAGAAGACCTATGCATACCAAGAGATCGACTGATTAGCACATCTCGATCTTGAAATTTGATGTCAGTGCTCCTTTAAACGAGGTACTCATTTAGTGCTTGTGCCACGCAGTGAAGCATTTCCTGGTTTTTATGAGACACAGGTGCACTCATACACTTTTTTTTCTTTTTTTAACAAGAAAAGCCTGCTGGTGTTCCAATACAGTGGTCTGGGCTATAGATAATACCTATATAAATTAAAGTCCAATGAACTTCAATAGTTTGTCGTGCATCACTTCTTATCATGAGCGACCTTTTTTCCACACGGTTGGCGTTCTCAAATACGCTTCTAAGCATATTTATATGCTTTTTAACAGACAGTATTTATCATCACTGCCATGGAAAACAGGGAAAAGAAAATGACACGTGGTCGTAAAACATCTTGAATCACTACATAGTGCTGGGCCAAAATGTGCTCCAGGCTGCCTGCCTTCTTGGTGTCAACAGAAGCTTTGCAGCCGGCTGCAAACAGTCCACACATTGCAGTCAAGCAATGTGTGGACCTCGCACATAACCAGAGTAGTTCTAAGATAGTGTATGAAGGGGAGCAGCTATGCACGTGTGGCGGAGAAGACCACTTGAGGCCGTAAATGAAACCAACCCCTGAACGGTTGTCAATAAAGAAGCAAAACCGAACTCGGCTGAAAACTGGCTGCAAGGGCCGCCTCTACACGTTAACGTGTGACAAACTATCAGCAATAACTTGAGGTGAAATAAATCTTCTCCAACTCCAAACTAAAGCTTTATAGTGATTAGCTGGTTCAAATTTCGGGCTATTATTACCGCACAATACTGGCAGATTGCCAAGATGGCACCATAGTTTTAATATTTCGCTTGCAAGGGTTCGTTTGAAGGACTGTGATGTCGCTGAGGCATAACCACGAGCGGTGCGCATTTCTCTCAAGTGCACCAGCCAAGCTTGCTTTATCAACATCGCACTCACATTGGTTCACGCAGAGGTCTGTCAGAAATATCTGTTGCCAAAGTGGGCACATTCAAACCGATTCTGAAAGTTTGTTGCCTGGGCTAACCACTTGGAGTGGCCTGATGCACAAGAAACAAATCCAAGCCAAAATTGACAATTAAAAGCATCAATCACCGGTGATCAGTTTGAAGTCGGAGGCTTGGAAGATTCCTTCAAAAGAATTATCAGTGATTGATAATTTGGTCAGTTCTTCTGACGCTTGCATTTATTGGGGCTGAGGAGTCGCGGAGTCATCGTCTATTGAAAGCACCCCGCGTGTATGCTCTGTAGAATAATGCCAGCACGCTCCTCATTTCATATCTACAGCGTCGTAGGTCGACCGTTCTATGAAAACCATGTGTATGCTGTTTACCATATGTAAATTTTACAGGTGTATTACGTTTAGAGTATAAGCTGAGGGAGCACACATTGCACTCAGTCACCGTGATGGGCCATCCCCAAACAAGTTCTTTGTAGGAAATGCTGACAGTCCCTGAAGGTGAACTAAGTGACATGCACTATCTCTTACCGTATGTCTGCCTCAGTAAGTCTGGCATACCAGACCTAAGCCTCAATCAAGTGATAGCATGCCAACATAATATTTTGTTTGATGAAATCCACACAAGTAGCCGTTCTTGTGTGAATGTCATTAAAGTCTTTGGATGTCAATTTTTTTTTTTGGGAATTTCAGAAGATGGGTGCCTACGGTAACTTGTACCCACTGTCAGCAAGATTTTTTTTCACTAAGTTCTTGGATGTCTCTGCAATTGCTGGGAAAGGAAGTACCAGTCTACGAAGTGAAACATGTGGCATCGTTCAACATAAAGGCAAAGAAATATTGCAATGTTTGCTGGACTAGTTCTCCAATCGATGGCAGGAGACAAAGATCTAGACGAGTTAGGAATTGCAGTGAAAAACAGAGAAGCTATTGCGGGAAGTAACTGCAAAGCTGGGCAAAAGCGGTATAAAGACTGTAACGGAATGTTGTAATGCGCAACATTTCTTGATAAGTTCTCCAACAATTTTGGTGGCAAAATTATGTCCATAACACAAAAGTTGGGGTACTTTTTGCATGTGTACGTACTTACCATAGAAAAGAAATGCAGTTTGGATGGGGCAACTAGGTGGACAACATATGGGCCAACTTGCGGGGAAGAAGTGTCATTAGCCGACGAATGTGCGTAGGCTAGCGTCTTGAGCATTCTTCTACACACCGAACAGCACAAACCCATCCTGAAGCAGACATTATCTTCACGGAAACGCTAGCCACGTGCACATGGTAGCTGCTGGCTGTTTACTATATGCAAGTTTGGCAGTGCAAGCTTCATGCAGCTTCTTACCCTGTGGACACTTTGAATGCTGACACCGGGCTTCTGTAATCTGTTAAATTTATAAGAGCCATGTAGTGATATCTTGATGGCTCAGTGGCATTTCAGACGATGTCTCAAAGAAAACAGTTCAGAACAGCTGCTCTAGTTTGGTCTGGAGTCTAGTTCGAAAAGAGTTCTTTTTGTTCTAGTACTGCATATTATGAAACTATATCTAGCCACCTGCATAATTGCAGCACTTTTTCTTCTACAGGTGCATTGATGCTTGGTTTGAGGTGAACCGCTCCTGCCCCGAGCACCCTCTGGACTGACGTTGCTGTCGCCCTACGTTTCTCTTTGTGAACTGCAATGGAGCTGCCAAATCTGGACCTGTTGTCTACTACATGACAACCACACGATCTCACCATGGACAAACTAACAAAAAAGAGAAATTAGGTTTGAGCGCAGTTGCACATTGCACATCCCTGAAAGACAAGATTGAATGGCAGAGTAAAACTGTTGTTTTTATTGGCATCTTGTTGATTTTTCTTGCTGTCAATTATTTTGTATTGGATGCACTATTCTGCAACAGTGTCTAGATAAGTTCTGTCTAGATAAGCCATGAACTTTTGCATGACTTGAACAGTTCTTGCTGTGACAGCAAGTAATATCTACGAAATTTGCTGTGCCTTGGTTTGTGCAACATAGTGGTCAAGAGTCCGTGTCTTCTGATTGCCAGCCACAGCAGCCCAGGGCAATGCTAAGATGAGCAAGCAGCATGGTTTCTTGCGACGTATTCTCTAGTTTTGTATAAAAATGAGAAAATGAGATGCAGAAGGCATGAAAGGGAATTCCAGGAACCTGCGTTGGTGCTGTGATGATCCATAAGCTGTTGTGTGTTGCCCCGTTTCTGATATGGCAAACTTTCCCTCCTGAAGCATGTAAATGTTCTGCAGCAGAACTGCTGCCTTTCGTAAATTTGTTGCGTATTCTTGCTCCCTCGTTGGAGACAGTGCACCGTTTTCCTCAGCTGCTCGCTTTCTCAAAGTGGAACACTCTGTCGGTGCATCGAGTCATGTTGTTACTCGTTTGTCAAATCGCCTTGAAAAAACACTACACATGTCACTCCCCACATTTTTTATACATGTACATGAAAAATGGAAGTGAACATTCTACAGCTTTCTTTTTTAATTGCTGCTTATCTTTTATAAGTTTCGTAGGGAATTTTTAGTTCGTTGGCATCAAATCTGGGACCCAGCTCGTAGAGTTGTCTCGATTTTTTTTTCTTCACCCGCCATTAGACGTTGAGCCCATTGGCCATAATTTGCACATTACATCTCTAGTTATTTTCAGTTACATAGATGCAGAGCAGCAGCAGGGCATATTAAGTCCTTTGGTAATGTAACCGGTACTAAATTTGCCCAAAGTGTAGTGAGCCACATGCATAATTTTGTTCATCTCTGGTGCCATACCACTAGTTACTATGATTTGTTTGTAGTGTCGTTGGATTCATTTCTGATAACGAGTTCATTCAGAGCTCGAACTTCCCTCTTCCCCTCCAACCACTTTTTTTTTCTCTCTAGCTCTAACCTTAACTGAGAGTTTGTTGGTTGCCACAGGCCTTGTTGATAGTGACCACTAGCTGGTTTAGCTTTCCTTCTTTAGTGCCTGCTTGATAAGAGTGTTTATATTGGTATGCTGATATGATGTGAAGCACCATTATCTGGCAGTGATGTGACCATAGTGCTGTGATGGCAGTGCTACAGAAGATGCCTTAATGTCTCGTGCTCTGTGGCACATGCATCGTGGCACTAGTCTGAAAGAGCAGATGCATTTTGGCCTTTGTTGGGTTTTTTTTTTTTCTATTCAGCGGGAGCACCGTGGCTTGGCCTCTTGTGGGTTTTGCAGTGCTTTTGTCTGTAATGGGACATGCTTGAAGAAGAATTCTGTGAATGTGCCGCATACGAGGACACACTTCAGTGATGTTGGCACAACCACAGTGTCTGCAGTCATTAGCATTGCATTGTGCCCCAAAGTGCAATCGGTTAAAAGTTGTGTGCGTGCACGTGTGCTTGCTTGCAACATGGTAACATCCGAAGGACATTACACAAGCCAGAGTATGACGTTCCTTCACGTTTCCTATGCCCCTTTCTCCACCCCTCCTCCTTTTTTGCTGCCATCTAAGTACCACACGCTAGGCAGTGAAGTTAGAATTCGTACAAAGTGTTTGCTATGTACGTGTGAGAGAGGTTGGTTGTTTGATATAGGGGGAGTGATATTTTTTGTAAAGTTCTGCAGTACTAAATTGCCTGTAACTGCTTGTAGCATATGTGTGCGTGTGTGTGGGTGTGAATATTGTGTATGAATATTAAAAAAAGAAATAAAAGTATATCACATTTTTCTAACTTTCATCAATGGAGTATATGTAGCCTTTCACCTCAGATCTTGGTTTCAGTTCTCTGCTTTTATGTGGCAGTTCTGTCATTCCTAAAATTTAGGCATTTCTTGTCAAGTAAACTGGTGCAATAATTCACAGACAGGATTGTCGCTATATGATCTACACACCATGCGATCACATGTTTACACCTGTCCCAAAGCTGTACAAGCTGCTTCTTTCTCTAAAGGACCAGATGGACTGAGGTCTAGCTGGCTCGCTAAAGTGACTGCATGCTCCAATCAAATTTTTCAAGAGCTCCTCAGTGTTTGAGAAATGCAAACCAAGTTTGCTGTATAGATCACATAGTCTAGTGACAATCCTGTCTGTAAAGTATTGCACCAGTTTACTTGGTAAGAACAGCCAAAATTTTAGAATTGACTCCATTTTGGAACTACTGTGGTCTCAAAGGTGACATCGCAGAAAATCGCATTGCTGTGGCATGCCCTGAACTTTTGCTGCACAAATAATGTGCAGTGGCACAATCAATATAATGATTCCTGAGAAGTGCACAGCACACAGAACTTTGTCTAAAAATGCGATGTGCAGCAAGAAAACAAGAAATCCAATGAAGAAGCGGTTGCGGTAGATTGGGCCTTGATAAAAGCATTCTAAAGAAGTGATGCGAGTCATGTTGATTTCAAGTGACTGGCAAAAGCATCTGTTTGGAAAAGGTAACTTGTCTCCTTGCATGGCCATTTCATTTGCTTTGTCTTCGCTAGTACGAGACGCTTTGTAAAAGTTTTTAATTAGTCAAAAATTATTTTATTTGAGAACTGGTTATCCTCCCTGTCCTGTATATTTGTTCCTCCTGCTATTGTATAATGAATACAATGACCCTGGGAATAGGTCTCACTAAAAAGCAACATTACAAGTCTGCGACATGACAAACTTGCTGCAGTACATGATGTTCTGTTGCACGAACAGTTATCACCGGAAGCAACGAGGCGTGCAGCTGTATTCGTTGTGTGTGGTAGAGCCATAGGTTGGCGATCTCGCTCATGAGTTGACTTGCTTGGGCTCGCTCACTCAGATCCAGCCGCAAGTCTGAGTGAATTCGGCCGAGGAAAATTGCATTGAGTCCGAGTTTCTGCGAGTCCAAAGCACTAGATATATTTCTCAAGCGAGTCTGAGTGAGTTCTACTTTCTTTTGCCAATCTATGGGTAGAGTCCTAGCCTCCAGTAGATAGTCTCCATACATATACTTGTCTTTATACAGCACATGGTCTTTATAATTGTCCACATGGCAGTTACCGTCGAGTGCTCTTAGAGGCAGACTAGGGCAATTGATAGCAGGAACTTGGAATAGCTTTGCAGTAGAGAAATGAGTTTACACCAGCTTCATTGACAAAAGGTGCAACATCTGTCAGTTGAAAATCATGTAAGCAGGAAGATATTTAGCATGTGACTTATCACAAATCCTGGCCATCTGCCCTGTATGTTTTGGGAACTATTGCCTTGAGCATTGCTACATGACTTGCAAACAAGTCACAGTGTATGGCCAGGACTGGAAGCGTACAAAATCTCCAATCAGAAGTAACAGTATCAGCAGAGCTAGTAGAATGCTGGTGATTTTGGAAGCTGTTGTGAGCTAGATGCTTCATACTGAAAAATTCTCAAAAGGTGAGCTGCAGTAAGAAAGAAATTGCATGGCTCTCCGACTTGTAGATGCAAATCCTAAACTTCTGGCTCACACTTACCTTGGGGGATTGGCCAAAAATTGGGTAGCTTGGAAGAATATATATGCATATAAATCCTAGAGTAGAAAATAATTTCTCATTTTGTACAACAAAAAATTATTTGAAATTATTCTTGAGGAAAAAAAATATTAGATGAATTAATTCATACTGAAATAGAAATATATTATTAATATAGAAGAAAATTTTCTCTGGCCTACATTGGTCAACTAAGAACTAAAGTGGTTGCTTGGGTATACTTGGGCCAGAGTTATTCTGGCTTGGGTATGTTGGTACGACATATTGTAGGGAAACAGCGTGAAAAAATACGAGAGACCAGGCAGTTACTTAATGTGTCCTTCTTAGCCTGGTCTCTCGTATTTCGCAGTTTCCCTACAATTAACCAAGAACCTTTGGAATTGAGGTTATTGTGTAAATCTGTTTGACTGTTCAATGAAATCTTGCACGGCCTCGCATACTTTCCAGTTGCTGTGCCCAAGGGTACGTGCAAAATTTAATTCAATGATGTGTAACGGCATTTCCAGAGATATCTTTCTTAATGCAGAAAATTTTCGGCAAGAGATAAAAAGTTTTCCCTCCCCCCACAAAAAGAACAAAGCGGAGAGGGTGTCAAGCCAGTTTTTCTTGTTTTTCTCAAAAAAGTAGCATGTCAAATGTTTGTGTGTGTGAGTGTGTGTGTGTGTGTGTGGTGTGTGTGTGTGTGTGTGTGTGTGTGTGTGTGTGTGTGTGTGTGTGTGCGTGCGTGCGTGCGTGCGTGCGTGCAATGATACCTCAGTAAAATGAGAAACAGAGAATACATTTTTAATGGGAAGATTATTTATATAAAGAAGACACCCCAGCTGAGAGCAAGCTTTCTTTCTTTTTTAGCTTACATAAACAAAGGCATAAACGATCGGCGCAAAATATCTTCTCTCTCTGCGAGAGTGATCCAGTGCCAGCTAGTCCAGGAGGCACGGAGGAAGGTGCCAGGAGGTTTAAAGAAAAAGTGCTGCAGTGAAGAAGCTTCCGCAATGTCTTGCCAGCAGAAGTGAAGCCAGCTTTTGCCAGGCCAAGATGTCGGAAACATGCTCTTTTCTCGTAGTGCCCACTTAGAGACCAACTGGCTTTGGTATTGTGGTCTAAAAGCTACGTTATTTCTATATTAAAAGATAGTTGTTCCCAACGAAATAACGCACAGAAACAAGTATGGGACGAAATAACGCACAGAAACAAGTATTGAATCTCCAAAGAACTTTGCCTCCAATTAAAGGCTTACTAAAGAAAAAACAGTAACACCAAGACGCACTTAAAGCATTATGTGATCTGAAAAAGTTTCCACAATTAACTCGTTCGGCGTGCGAGGGAAACGCTCCGTTCTTAATTGCTGAATGACGATACTTTATTATGCCCCTAGTAAGGGGCCGCCGCAGCCATCATATTGCCATACCAACGCCTCCTCTAGGAAGATGCCTGCCGCATGAGAAAAAAAACAGCTGCCACACTCTTTTCCTCCTTCATTTTGAAAATGTTCTCGGTCGCTAGCTTCACTTGTGGCGGACGGTGCAACAACGCAACACTTTGCATAACCTCCAACTAGTAGTGCACAATTGCAGGTCTCGAACAACTTTCGACTGACGCGCCCCTAGGAGCCGCAGATGAAAAACGCTCAGCTGGTACTAGAGGTGTGCGCCGAGGCGATTTTGACCGGCGGCGGCGTGGGGGTCGTACAGAGTCGGCGGCGGCGGCGTTGTCGGCGCACGCCGGTTTTTTCATCGGCGGCGGCGTGCGGCCAATTTTCGTCGGCGGCGGCGGCGTCGGCGGCGCAGAAACCGAAACTGAAATTTCAAAAGGCTCTTCCGCCACAGGTTACTGAATTAGTTGAAATTCGGGAATTTTAATCCAAATAGCATAAATGACACTACACAGATGTGTCGACATCCCGATGAACGCAAAGCGTTTTGTAAAGTAGTTTTTATTTCGCTTTCATGAAAAAATAACGCGTATTTCAATCTATGTCCATGTTCTACGGTAAATGTGCAGCACTTTGCTTTTTTAAGATGTTGTTTTAAGTTGTTGTTGTTGTTGGCAACGTCATACCTCATGAAACCTTTTTTCATTGAACAATGAGCAAGCAGTGACGCACGTCACTCATTTCGCTTTTTCCGGATCTGATCTTACTTTTACATTGTACGCTGCACTAAAGAAGAAGCACCTCTGCTTCGAGTTTTCTTATTACGATTGCATGAAACCGCTTTTTTGAGTATCTGTCTTGCTTTGAATGTAACTTTCCTTCAAACGAATCAAAATACCTACTTTTCGCAATGTGAGAATCTTTTATGCAGCGGTATAGGATGCGGAAGGAAACAAATCTGCGCATTTATTCAGCTAGTTCTCAGCGCGGTGTTCAATGAATGAAGTGTAGACATGGGCGTGGGCGAGGCGGGTGGTGCAAAAAGGACACTTCAAGCTCCATTAGCACTTGCTACCCACTCTAGCGACACCAACACGACCTACTCCTTCAGTCGTGATGCAAGTTGAAAGAAGGGTTTGCATCCCACCAAGACAAAAACCTGTCAATTGTCATATGTGCAGATGAAAGCAAATGCAATATTTGCCCAGATAGACAGCCCATACTGGTCACGAGCTGGGCGTCCGTTGACCACGCCTGCAGAGAACGTTGACTACCCGACCCCTTGGTGTTTGTTCAGGGGAGGGGAACACCCCTTGCAGGTGGGCCCCATTAAAATTTCTCTTAAAAACGTCCCAAATATGAATGCTTGATAAGTATGTATAAAACATTCAACTTTTCAATGCTTTTTTGTAGCGTGTTCACGTGCTCAATGCCCATCAGATGAGTGAGAAATCGAAATAGCAACTGCCACTCTCGACTTGTTCCGGAAAAGACACAATAGAACAATGCAATTACGAGTGCTGGGAACCTTTGTTCTTTTGTATATTTGATTTCTAGGCATGATTTGAATTCTTATATAAACAAAAATAAAACCTACAACATATTAAAAAAAGGCTGCTATTGCAAGATGTGTGTTGCAAGACGTGATTTTTCTAGACTTAAGTCTCTGCAAGGCACATCTGGTGTCACAAACTTGTAAGTGTCCCCCCCTTTTCCCCACGACATCTCCCGATCTCCCCCCCCCCCCCCCTCTAATAAAAAGGCACCAATGTAGGCCTCCGTGATTGCCTACTGGCGCGCGGTGGGCCAATCCGGTGGCTAGATCCAACAGTGGCGATTTCGACTTGCTTTATTGGAGGTGCTGAAGGATCAAGAAAAGGCCGATAGTTG